AAAACCACAGTTTACATTGGGTTTTAACTTGTGGTGTGGCTCAGAGTTTACATCACTCATTGAGTTATCAAAATCAGATATACTGTCTCTCTGTCCTGATCCTCATCTAGGTCAGACCAATTATTTAATGCATTGCCACTAAATGGCACTTTTCTGCTGTGCCACTAGAACATTAGAGCTTGGCCTCCGAGAGGCTGATGTTTATATAAATGATGAAAGTGCCACATATTGCAGGAGGACTTCTGGGATCAGCTCCCTGGAGCCTATTTCCTACATCCTATAGACATCCTCTCTGATCTGGCTGCTATGGCTGGATTGTACAAAAGTAGCATTAGGAGCTATATTAGCTAAAGAGATTGAAGCTAACACATCTTTTCATTGAGGAATATTCCCTAACCGCCCCCTTTGACTCTTCATGCATGCATTGCAATTATTGCAGCAAACTTAGTATTATGAATCTTATTTAAGATTTTTGTGCCATTTGCGTACTCTGCAAGATTTAGTGGAGAGAGAAGTGCTTAACCTTCTCAATAGGAGGGCACAATGAGGTGGAATAAATGGGAACAGGCCCTCTTGCTGAAAAAGAAAGCATGTCAAATTTTCTGCAGTCATCACTCTGGTGATGTGGCTTTCCTTACTGTAAATGAACCGCACAGAACATTTATAGGAATAGCACAGAACTGTACTGAGCAAAATTGTAACTGTAAAGACTATTGGAGGCAAAAAAAAAAGGAGAATTTTTAAAGCTGAAAGGGGTTTATCTAGTTTTCAGCAAACAGGAAAATGTAAACCACAATATTTACAGATAATTTGATACATACTTTAAAACTGAAAAACATAGAAAACTGGTCAAAACTTGGTATGAGGAACAAAAGTTCTTGAGCCACAAGCCAGGGATTGCAAATCAACTTGACACAGACAAGGAAAAGATGAGAATGCACTTACCATTGCAGTTATATCACCTAATGTTGTCATACTCTAGAGTCATTGTCTCTCAAAAGCACTTTTTTTACCATTATTCCTCACAAGGAAATGGATCCTCACCTTAGTGCAAACTAAGGCACCTAAATTATTGTTTAAATTATTAAAGTGGTACGTGTGATCTGCACATAAGACCAGAAAAACATCCTGTATATGTCTAGACAAGATTTTCAACAAGGTGGCATTTGGAAGAAAGGGAGGAAAAACAAAACAAAACAAAAACACTATATAAATGGAACTGTTGGGGAAAGAAAAGAATTGGTACAGAAAGATCATATTACTTGTTACAAAGAATGAAACTAATAAGGGAAATCAGCATGTTGCACCATCTGTGCAGATTCACAGATGATCAGGGCTTTCAGTTCACTGAAATTTTATCACAACTGGCCGAGGAACATAGAGGGGAGTGCTAGAAACTGAAGACTCCTTTGCAAATAATGTGATCCTCAGGTAAAAGGTAATTCAGGAGAATACATAACTTCCTTGACAATGGAAAACAACCCTTCACACTCTATGCTGCAAATAACTCTATAGCTAGTTTCCATTTAAATCTTGTTTTGAGAAATTTTTGGTTTTATTAACATGAATGTAACGAGAACACATTGAAGGCAACAAATCTAAATAAAGTGATATTGTAGAATATTTGCAACCCAAGAGAAACCTGAAGATATCTCAGATTGATATGCACTTGCATTTGCAAATGCCAGTAACGAAAGCCATATCATGAAAGGTCTATATCATGCAAGGAGAAAAAGACTTTTTAACTTCCCTGACAAGTGCCCTTTCCTAGTGCTCTTCTGGAAAGATGCAAAGAGTAGAGTGAACACAAATACAGGCTCTAGGCTGGATTTTGAAACCTGGAGACAGACCTCAGTCAACTGAGATGATACATTGCCATGTCTGAAGTCATTTCCTTGACTTCCATTCAGAAGTTTAATACCTGCTTTCCTTTAGAGCAAGACTTAAGTAAGAGACTTCACACCGGCAGGAACATCTCTGTAAGAGCCACCTCAAGTGACCAGATACAATTAAGCACATAGGGCTGATGGGGAGCAAGAAAAAAACACTTATCACAAGGAAGGACAATAGACATACATGATTTGTCACTAAAATCTTTTGCAGGTAGCATCTGACAGTTAAAACATTCATCTCATTTTCATAACACTTCTTATTGCTTTTCCAGGATGATAGATAGGTAGGGCTTTAAGGCGTATGTAAAACATCCGTCTTCCCTGCAATAGTCCCTTTTTTATCACAAGAGCAGTACAAACTAGCCCTTGTGTCAGGGAGAACGAACCCTGTTATCTCTTGCAAACAGTCCACCACACTCCTCTTCAACAAGGTATGCTTTAGCCAAACACAGCTTAACTGGATGTAATTCTCTGGTAATTCTCCTGCAGCTAGAGTTGTCAGTCCTTTTTGCTTAAAGTTAGTAATACCTGAAGTTAACTGTTGACAGAATAAGCCTCATTAATGGTGAGAGATACGTGTTTCATTTAGTTAGAAGAACAAATATTGGAATACATAAATATTGGAATACAATTTCTTCTGAGTCCCTATTAGCATATAAATCACTTGTACGTGTATATATCTCGGCTGCTGGGAAAATAGCTAAGTTGCTCTTTCTGGCCAAATAAAAAAAGAGAAAAGAAAAAGGAGTGGAGGCAGGAGGAAGGAAAGCTGGGCATTGGGCAAGCTGTTCAGAAGGCAACGTGAGGTTTGTTAAATGTAATTCTTAAGAACTGTGTATTCCACTTACACTGGTACATCAGCTTTCTGGCATGTAAATGCTGAAGAACAGCTTTTATTTGTACTCTTAGGTAACAGACCCCCATCTTGTGCACTTCACAGGCCATATATATTACAGCAGAGAAAAAGAGCACATTTGGCAAGTCCTTGAAAATCTTGTTTGAAAAGCTTGGTCCTGAGTCAAGTTTCTAGAGTTTGGATGCTTAAATCTGAACTCTTTATCAAAAGCTTGTATAATAATCAATGAAGGGAAATGAGAATTATATATATTTTTCTAAGACAACTGTTCAAGAGAATTAAGATCAATCCTTTTGTTTAAATGTACATAATTTTCCACTAACTACAAAGGCAGCATAACGTGACCAACAGACGTGCATGAATACTCTTTCAATATAGATTGTGTGTCTGTGTGTGTGTCATTTTGTACCTGCATGAAATTTAATATATAAAGTAATAATCTCAGAGAAAGACCTAATTGAAGGAACTTGACCCATTTTAAAATTTAAAAATTTATTAAAAGTCACTTTCCCCAGTGAGAATTCAACAGAGAGCCTTTTCTGCACCCCTGAAAGGACTTTATATAAGGATTGCACACATATCATGTGAGATATTCACTGAGCAAAACAATACATAATGAATAATGCAAGATATTCATGGCTGAGCTATGGGTAAAAAACAATGAACTTTGCTCATGATTTTGTTCTTTTTTTCTCACTTCCTGTAAAAATGAAGGGGCTCACAGGACCTTACAAACATTGCCTTATCCTGTGGTACAGCAAGGATGAGCAATAGCTTTTTAACAAAGCTCTACTTCCGCTCTTTGAGCTGTTCAAATGAAATAGAATCACTAGAAACATAAAATACACTTATGCTTATTTTAGCTTTGCCACTTGCAAGTTTGATTCTGTGCTAGACTGATAACGTTCCTCTTACTTTTGTCCACTCTTAAGATTACAAGAGCTGTGTCAAGCAGGCTTAGTCCAGGAGTTACCATGAAAAGGGCAACATTCCTGAAAGGTGCCTTTCCAACCTGCTTGGCAAATTAGATTGATAAATATTGATAAAATTGGCCTCAGGACCAGAGAAAAGGTCCTGGCACTGCTCAGTACACCAGTATAGATGTACCTTATAAAGAAATGAGTTTTTTAAATCTCGTAGCATGTGAGTAATTTTCCAACAGTAGTCTCAACAGGACAGCAGCTAAATTTAGCACCAACTCCCAGCGTTGGCAGATTATGCTGATTTTTGTACTTAAGGATTGACGTGCAATTTTATTGCAGTATCTTGGCACTACTACTTCATGACCAAGTAATGTACTACTGCAGCATCATCCATTTTTTTAACACATAAAATTTTCATTAAATAAAGGCTCATATGGTACAATTTTGGCCTCTCTTCTGAATACTGGATTAACAGAGGACAAGTTAGTATCACATAAATAAAATAAAAACTTTCAAAGGGGCAAGGCAAATTTTGACAAGCAATGTGAATCTCAAGAACAAGTGATCACTCAACAGAAATCTAAGTGAAATATAATTTGTTCATTCATGAGAAAGTTTACAAACTGACTTTTTTAAAACCATTTAGATTTGGTCTTTGAACTATTTTTATTGTCTAAGGAATAATAAGAGCTAAGGAAAACGCAAAAAAAACCACAAAAATTAAAATTGAAAATCTGAGCTCTTTTTTCTAATTCCTCTTTTTAATAATCTTCAACTTTATTTTTTTACAACTAGGAGTATTCTTTTTTCTCCTGATGTCTAATTACTTTTATTTAATTAGAATTCACAGTAAGAACATGTGCTCTGAGTACTTCATTCACTGTGAAATAAGAACTTCCACACTCTGCTGAAAGAAATTCTCTTTATCATATCCCATATGAAGAGATAGGATATTATCCATATTTCATAGAAGATGAAAAACTATCTACCTCTTAAAATGAAATCTACAACTTGAAGGAATTATTTGCTACCAGAAACACAACTGATTGAAGCTGTGCTCCTTACTACATGCAGCAAACCAGTCTCTGAGATTTTCTTATAGGCTGTTTCCTTTTTAAAATACTTACAAGACAGTGAGAAGCATATCTGTGGCTAAATGAGCTCGTGTGAATTACCAGTTGAAAAACTAAATGTAAACCAGCATTTCATGCACAGAAATAGCCTGGGAAATAGAAAATACTATATTGACCCATACTGTTTCCCTCCCATAGTGGGTGTGACGGTGTGCTTGGGTTTTTCTTTTTTTTTTCTTGCTATAACGCCCAGATCCACTGAATTAGTACCCACTTAAAGCAAGTGCCTTTTATCAGGCTCTCACAACCAACTACTCCCCTGCAATGCCTTCAGCTCCTGACATCAACATGAGGTTCAAGTTTTCAGCTGTGGCTCTTCTTCTGGAAGTGATCATCATTGTTTTGTTTGGGATATTTGTGGAATATCGAGAAGATAATAACCCTGAAATTTTATACCCAAGTAAGTGTTGCTGTCTAGCATTTATAGAAGTTATAATTTCTTTAAACTAATCCTAAATAAGATTTCTGACTAACCTACTAGGCCTACCAATATAGCTAGAAAAGAAAGGCATGCTTTGGGGCAAACAAACTTTTTCTGAAGTGTGAAAGCAGCAAGCTTCAAAGGCAAATTCAAGCTGAGCACATATAAAATTCTGAAAGTATTTTGGATTCTGAAAGGTACTAAATTGACCTAACTGCTACAATCACCTCTTCTGGGACAAAAAAAGAATCCTGAAAATAGTTCTACTGTTTGCATAGCAGGTTAAAACTTGGAGAAGTATTGATTGTTTTGAACAATTCTAGCACTTTCCTGAGATCGGTGGTAATGTTTCTTGCCTGATCTTCTATCTTGATTATGAAAATGAACAAAACATTTTATTTCTGTCATCCAGACTTCAAAAGGTTTTCTTATGAAAACATGGAAATTGGTCAACATATTCAAAATATTCATCATCATTATAAAATACATTTGCAGACTGCACAAAGGGCAATAGTTTTTGTCACAAGGTGGATAAGCCCCTCCTATCTTTCAAAGCACTGGCTCAACTGTAGACAGTAATGGTTCAGCCTGTAAACATTTCTCTTGATGTGTTGCTCTGCAAATGCTTGATCAAGTTCAGCGGAAAAGTTTTGGCCTCAGAAATAGTTGCTGACTTCTTACACCTTATTCCTCCTCACACAAAGATCAGACTGTAAATAAACAGAAAAATAAGTATACAGAGGAGTAGCCTGTGTCTTGCTGGTAGCATTGAAGGTTTAACAACTTGTAGTCTGATTGCAGCCTTCTTAGTGAGGATCATAACATTGACTTCCTTGCCTGCATGTAGTATTGATGTAATTTTGAATGTATCCCTTTTTTTATCTTTCCAACTGTCTTTTCAGTGACTGTTACAGAGGAATGTAATCTCATGGTCACTTCACCCCCTAGCAGTCCTGGGCTGTCTATTCTCAAACAGAGAAATGTCTACTGGAGAGGACAGTGAATGCATGAAATTACTCCACTCCAGATGCAAGTCAGCTGATGGGGCTAATTAATCATGTTTGGGTTAACTCCACTAAAATCCAGCAGTATCTCCAAGAAATAGTAACTTAGGTTATGTTAAAGCCCATTTTCTTTCTGAGACGTAGCTTAGCCATGTCCATGATTAAGTCCAAACTTAAACAGGGGAAGTTTGGATTGGATATAAGGAAGAAGTTCTTTACTGTAAGGGTGGTGAGGCACTGGAATGGGTTGCCCAGGGAAGTTGTGAATGCTCCATCCCTGGCAGTGTTCAAGGCCAGGTTGGACAGAGCCTTGGGTGAGATGGTTTAGTGTGAGGTGTCCCTGCCCATGGCAGGGGGGTTGGAACTAGATGATCTTAAGGTCCTTACCAACCCTAACTATTCTATGATTCTATGATTCTATGATATTGAACTATCGCAGTCCCTAAATTAGGTCATCCAATATATAGACAGTATATTGGGAATGATCCTTGGTCCACTGTGACCTAGGAGGTGATAGTAAGCCTAGGCAAAAACTGTGCCAGAAACCACACTAATAACTGGACATCACAGATAATTCTATTCAGGCACTGTCATTTTATTAATATAGCTATTGCCTAATACCCTTGTCCACCTACCTCTTTTCTGATTTTACCCCAAAACAACACAACAACCGATACAGCCAGAGAACAATAGCTTTTTGGGCATCTCTGTAAAATTTGGTAAACCTGAAGGATGCTATCTAGGAAATGGGTCCTTAAGACTCAGATTACGGTCTTTTCACACCACAAGAACAGAGAAAATTATCTTTTCTCGTTTGAATGTCATGTGCACTAGCTCTGGTACAAAAATGACCTGCATTTTCATGGAGTCTTCCTTACTAAGGAAAATGAAGAAAGGTACATAGGATCCTCATGCCAGTAATTTAAGTCTTCAGTGGTCTTTTAAAACATGTAGTGCATTTCTTAGTAAACATCGAGTCTTCTGGATGAAGATTGTCTATGCCACATGCATTACCATGGGTATTGTGATCCCTGGGAGCTCCTGGGATAGTCTGTTCTCACACTTAACAAAACTCTCCCCCAGCCCTGCTTTTTTTTTACATTTAATATCTTCTTTTTGAAAATACATCAGAGAGAGGGCAGAAGCCTCATCAACATCACAGAGGAAAGAATTCTTCTCACCAGATCCCAACACTGAAGTACAGTAATCTACCCAGTTAGGGATCACCCACAGTTATTCCTTCCCTAATATGAGAGTCTAAAATATTTGGGAGAAATTACCTGCTGGCTCCCATGCCTTCCTATGAAGGTGGTGTATTATCTGCACACTGTCCCCCAGCCATATACACTGCTGAACTACTAGCAAGCTCCTGGCATGGTTTTGGTTTATTGTGCTGATTTCAACTGGGATGGAGTTAATTTTCTTCTTAGCAGCAGGTAGAGTGCTGTGTTTTGTCTTTAGTCTGAGAACAATGCTGGTAAAACACTGATGGTTTTAGTTATTGCTACGTAATGCTTGCCCAGATCAAGGACTTTTCAGTCTCTCATACTCTGCCAGTGATGAGGGGCACAAGAAGCCAGCAGGGAGCAGAGACAGGACACGTGACCCAGACTAACCAAAGGGGTATTCCATACCACAGCATTTCATGCCCAGTATATAAAGCAGGGGGAGTTGGCAGGAGGTGCTGGTTGCTTCTTGAGGATGGGCTGGGCATCCATCAGTGGGTGGTGAGCAATTGTATTGTGTTTTATACTGTTTGTTGTTTTTTCATTCTTTCTCTCTCTCTTGTTTTGATATTTCCCTTTTCATTATTATTAGTAGTAGTAGTAATATGAGTATTATGTCTTACCTTATTTTAATTATTAATTATTTAATTATTAAACTTATCTCAATCCATGGGGTTTACCTTCTTTAAAATTCTCCTCCCCTATTAGGCAGGGGATGTGAGTGAGAGGTACTTAGTTGCAAGTTGCTGGGTCAAACAAGCACCTTGATCTCCTCTTAGGTACGGCTTTAGACATAGCACAGGTTAAGGGACTATTCTCAATAAATGGAACAGGTGGGAACAGTGTTTTGGGAGAGAAGAGCATGTAGCTGTACAGGTGTAATTTGCCTAATATGCCATTTGCCCTTTGAGCAGGCTGTTCAGGTCACCAGTAGAGACATAAACTGAGTACACCAGTAGAGACATAAACTGAGCAAACACCACAGATTTAGTGTTGGAGTTTTTGATGCTGATTTAAAAGAGCTGATGGATCTCATTCACAGGGACCGGAATAAAAGCAAGATATCCTTACACCCATGTTTTCACTTTTAGGCCCTCTGCCTCTCAAAATTCCCTGCCTAGAAAATGCACCCAAGAGCACAATTTGTCTGAGGACCCAGCAAAAAGTTAGTGCTATGGTTTTACAGATGTATTAGGACATACCCTGTGCCAGGACTTCCCCTGAATTCACAAAACAATGGATTCAAACTGCTTCCCATTCTATTCCCAGAGGTGTTAACCCATCTGTACCTCATAGATTTAGTTGTTTCCACCAGAGGCCAATTTATATTCTCAGAACTGTAGTGCAGGGCTTCCTTTTATATGTCTTAAATACCTCAGCACCATGAACCAAAGCTGTTTCAGCATTTTTGGACTGAAGGAAGATGAAAATAATAATTGAAGATCACCACAGTTTTGCACTCAGGTAAGGAGGGCTGAGCTGAGATCATTCCCAAAGCATAACTTTGCATTATATCTATTTCTGGTGAATGCAGAAAGCATAGCATACGGATGGACAACTTCAGGTGTGCTGTGCCGCTAGAATGGCAGGACAAGGGCATCTGACAAGCAAGCACTCTTAGAGGATGTCTTTAGTACTGGTGTCCTGTACGTAACGTCCTGTGATTGATCCATCACTCATGGCATAGGAAAACTTATGCACCCCTCTTGTTCGGGGTTCCACAGTCTACTTATTTTAGGCAGAGCAAAATCATGTATTTAGTATAAACCCAGATGCCACAAGCATCTTTGCATTGAGACAGAAAAACATGTGGGAACCCTGCAGTGGAATCAATACACTGGTCATGGGCAGCTTTGAAGAATCATGTGCAGTGTGCTTTTGAAACCTATTCTTTTGCTCACATGTAGGCTCAGGTTACTTAAACATTAAAGCATCTTTTTACTAATCTGGACATGATTTACTAAGACGTGGTATACACGAGTGGGAATGTTTCAGTGAGAAAAATTTACTTGCTTTGTCTGCAATGCAAGTAAATTGTTAATGGCTAGCTGTTAACATTAATGTTAATAATTGTAACCAGGAGATTGCAAACAAGAGCAAGTAATAAGCTAACAAACAATAATACCCTCTAGGAGACTGGAAAAATTTTCTTACCCAAAGCTGACTACCCTGAATGGGCAAAACTAAAACTATACAGGAAATTTCATGGCATAGGCTGATGAAATAATAAAAAGAAAGGAGTAGGTAATTTTCAAACGTGCCCCTCATTTTGTGCATGAAACTCAAGCGTAATATAAAGTGAACACTGCTGAAGTTGTGTACCACTTTGACTTCCATTTTCTTCTGCCAAAGTCAAACAAAAAGGCTACTTTTGTAGGTATCGCTGTGTAGCTTCTATGGGTTTGCCCTCTAGCTCGGTATTTTTTTTTTTTTTGTAACATTAACAAGCTCTTAATAAAGTAGTTTTACAAAAGTCAGACAAATAAACAGGGCCACTTGTCAAATACAAAGGTGCTGATCCTACAGGTTACTAGGTGAACAGTTACTCATAGAAAGTTATTTTAAACATAATAAAAAAAGCTTGTTCATCATCCAGTTTCCACTTATCCTCAAAAAAGAGGGAAATCAAGCTTGGGTTATGCCCTCCTTTATTTGAAAAGAGATCTCTTATGTGACCTGTCAAGATATTTTTGTCCCACTTAAAAACAAAACCTGGGTAATTACCTATACCTGAAATCATCATGATGGTGGTATAGGAAGGCTATCCACTCAGATCTACCGGCACTAACCACTGCTGCATGTCTTCTAAGACATTTGAAGGAGAGGTGCTCTAGATGTGCAGTCCACCACCATAGTCAAGTCAGGCAGGAAGAGAGTTCTGTGTTCCTGTGACACAGGCTGTTGCAAGCTGGGAGGGTGCACAGACAGATGTACCCGTCAAATTATCTTGTACTTTAATATCCTTTTCCTAAACACCACCCCCCCTGCCCCATCACCACCACCACTCCCCCTGACACAGGAATATGGGAAGATTAAGCTGTGTTTTGGATTCTGCATCCCCTAAGCTACTAAAGACTTTGCTGCTGATAGGATGAGGAAGGTTGTATTAGCATGGTTTGGATTGTCCCCAGCCGTATTTTTTCATCTCTTGCCAGGTCCTCTGAAGTAAGGAAATACATTGAGCTCTAACCAAGACAATTAACTTGACACAGCATTTCAATACAAAATATACAAGTATATCAAAAGCAGAAGCCTAAATGGGGAGGATAAGTTAATTGTGCATCTTTTAAAATAAGTAATAAGCACAACACAAGAGTTTGGATGGTGGGTCTGGAAATGGAGTAACATGGAGGAAAATAGGAAGCTTTCAAAGGACTACAAGGGCCTCAAGAATCCCATCACTGGCTATTATTGAAGTCAGGAAATAAATGTGAAAATGTCCAGCCTAAAGAGGAAGAAAAAGGGTCGGGGATATCTGCAAACCTACTGCATTTCTATGCTGTTCCTTAGATGTGTGAAGGATCTTACTTTAAGCATGTATGTATTTCCTTGCTAGGTCAGGGCTGGAATATGACAGTGCAAATATAATTGAGTTTATTAGGAATCTTCAGTAACTTATTATACTTCTGGGCCCTCTTTTGGCTAAACTTGGTAATGCATATAGCAAAACTATAGGTAACTAGGAAATGTAACTTCAAGCCAAATATTATACTAACAAACCCAATGTCCCAAGTTTTTCCTGTGTATTTCCATGTAAGAGGCAATGAAATAGAAATGAAATGAAACAGTTTCTGTATACTGAGGTTCTTACTAACAATAACATCAGAGAAAGATTCAATTACAAAACTCAAGCATGTTTGGTAGTGTCCATTAAGTCACACAAAACAACAGTTCAGAGTGACAGATATATTTTAAAATATAAAATACTCATGTTGTGGTGATAAACTCAGTTTGTATTAAAAAGCCTAATAAAGTAAATTAAAAAAATAAAAAGCTTTTAAAATACTGCAAAAACAACTACCTAGATGAAATCCATATTTGGAAGGAAAAAGCATATTTGAAGGAGGGCTAAGTATATGCCGATTAGCAATATTAATTTGCTAGTTTAGACATTATCTCAAATGCCTTCTTCTTTTACACATGGAAAGAAATCAATCTCTTGGACAGTAATTTTTAGGGATCAGAAACATTATCTTTCACTGAGTCAAGTAGCACTCTACCAAGCAAATCTCATGTCAATTTTGGAGTTAGCCAGAACATGTTGAATGTGACAAGCTTTGTTTGAGAGGGAAGAGAACTCTGTAAGGACATGAAGCTGTGATATTACAGGTAGCTTCATACACAGAGAACAACTCCAAATATACCAAGTTTTCTAGTATAGAGACCAAGTGTTCTATCCACAATGACATAGCAAAGAATAAAATCTGTAACTGGGTCTTGCATTTTCCAGACACTCAATCTTCAACTATTAGACTGGTTATGAAGAAGGAAAGTACAGATCACACTGATGACATGAGTTGGAACTCTTTTATTTTCTGTTAAATCCTCATTTGTCCCTAGCTTGCTTCCCTTTGCTCTTCAGAGTCACTACACAGTCATGTTTTCCCTTCAGTCTTTCAGGATGTCCATGTGATGATATTTGTTGGGTTTGGTTTCCTGATGACCTTTCTGAAGAAATATGGATTCAGCAGTGTTGGTATCAGCATGCTCCTTGCTGCCTTTGGTCTCCAGTGGGGAACCCTCGTGCAAGGATTTTGGCACATGCAAGAAGGGAAAATTCATGTTGGCAGCAAGAGGTACATGTGAATTTACCAAAACTGACAATTCTATCTGTAAAGATAACAGGGGAAGCCCTAAACTACAATACCTATGGGATCAAACTGTAAGTTCACTGAAATTTGTTTGAGCCTTACTGTCCACCTTTTGACATTCATCTGACCTTCACCTCTAAAGGGGCAACACGTGGTGCACCGGGCCAAGGGAACCAAAGTGTGGGATGAAATTACATGTAGAGACTACTCTCAATCTCTGGAGCTGTGGAAGCTGGAAGAATTCCTGCAGTAACACAGCATCTCCTGCAGCCAGCAGGCATGAAAGGATCTGCCCTTCCACAACACATGGAAGAGTGTCTGGAATGTGGCTGGAATAGTACATCTATCCACTCATAAGATTTTCTCCTACTTCTCAAGGAATGATTTGCATGAGTACCATACTGCAGTAGGTTTTGGACCCCAGTCATGGAATAAGAGACCTCATGAGCAATGTCCCTAGACACTTTTACCCCTTCCATTCATCTGTCTTGCTTCTGCCAAGGTGTTTTCCACATCTGCAGTTCTTTTTTTCTGAGACAACTTGTAGATAATTTTGAAAGGAACAACATCCAAACATTACTGAGGGACAAGCAGAAATAAATAGTATCTTAATGCTTACAGATCTGCATTTGTAGAGGGATCCGTAAATTAATGCCCTTCCGTGCTGCAAGGTTTTGACCAGTTTGTGGCTTTATCTTTGCCATTCCCCATGACCAGGTAACACCAGTCCTTCCTGACAGCCAATGCAAACATTATGCACAGTGATAGAAAGTCATGCAAGGCTTTTGAAATTAGATAGACCATCTGACCAAATCTGTAAGCTCCCTATCCTCTTTGAAGTTCCAGTGACAGAGCTGAAAACATTTCTGCACATCTGAAATACATATCTCATCTGACTTTTCACTGTAATTTCAACCAGCTAAGAATATATATAGTATAAACAGGAGATAACATTCCCAAACTTCTTCCTCAGTAGCTGAAAAGATCTCTACAAAATCCATCTGGAAAGGTTTGGCTTAATTTTTGTTCCCAAAGATGATCTTAATAATTGTATATCTGAAGACATAAAATTCTATCATTTTAATGATACGGCAGGTTTGATATTACAGCCTTCTTTCAGGTCTCTTTAAACTGATTTGGTTTTTTGTTTTCTATTAACTTCAGCATGATAAATTCAGACTTCAGTACAGCAACTGCTTTGATTTCATTTGGAGCAGTCCTGGGGAAGACAAGTCCTCTTCAGATGCTGATATTGACAATTCTGGAGATTACAATCTTTGCATGCAACGAACACCTAGTTACAGAAATATTTCAGGTACAATTTTTTTGGAATAATTATTTTCTGTTTGTAAAAAATGCTTTCACTTTGCAATACTTCCAGTTTTAATACTCTAGGTTTTAGTTTCTATCATAGAAAATAAACTATTAAGGTCATCCTGACGTTTCCTTCATTGAATCCTCATCTTTATGCTGTATAAAATCTGTGGCATTATTTTGGGTTCTTAATACAGGCTACAGATGTTGGAGCCTCAATGACCATCCATGCTTTTGGAGCTTATTTTGGTTTAGCCGTAACCCTGGTCTTGTGTCGTCCTGGTCTGAAAAAAAAACATGAAAATGAAGAATCTACCTATCAGTCGGACATATCTGCCATGATTGGTAAGCGATGTAATAGTGAATGCTGATCAGTTCTTCATCCCTCCTTCATTTCTACAATTTAATGATTGCTTATTATTACACTGCATCTATTTTCTTAAGTACATTCCTAGATGCATATCTGGTTTTGTCTGATGCATGCATAGCGTTTCCAGTGACACATAATTTTAGAGTTTTTCCTGTAGGAAAAATCAAATTAAAGATGCATTTCTACTGTGCATTTGTGGTGACTCAAGTTTTGTTAAATCTTCTGTTACAAGCAGTATTTCATAGAAGCTGGCCATAATTAAAATTATTGAACTGTGCCTGTCTCACTAAAGAACATTAGAAACCACACACTTACGTGTCTGTGAGACCTATTTTACACCTGTCTGTGAGATCTCTTCATAGATCAATTTACCAGTTAAAACTATCAATTATATCCATAGGGGATAAAGTATTTGCATGTGAACTGTCTTGCTAATGCACCCTATGCTGGTATGGTTTTCACAGTGGTGGTGAGCTTTTTAAAGTGAATGGGGCATGACAAGGGAATCATAATGCGTCAAAGTCTTCCAGTAGGATTTGATTAATACCACGTGTCCAAACCACAAATGCCAATGTCAAAAGCTTCTGCATAATCTATTATTTCTTCGAGCATTTTGGCAACTTCATGTTTCTTATTGATCATCTTCCTCATTTCTTGCAGCTAGTTCTGTTCTTTTGGATTTTTCACACTGAAATACCCTTGTGACTGAACAGTCTTTATTTCCTTTTGACTTCTATTCATCCAGGTACCTTGTTCCTTTGGCTTTTTTGGCCCAGTTTTAACTCTGCCACTGCATCTGAAAACATTTTCTATATTAAAGCAATTGTCAACACCTACTATTCCTTGGCCGCATGTACTGTTGTAACATTCGCCCTCTCCAGCCTGCTGGATCAAAGAGGCAAATTCAGTATGGTAAGAATCACATTACAACCTCTGATAAATCAAGTCACTCCTCTATAATAAGGATCATTAGGCAGATTTACAATATCCATGAAATATCTGGAGCCTTTGCTCATGCTGTGGGCAAAATTAGAGCTATTATATTTCTAAAAACTATAATGTAAGATTGGGTCCTGTGGCAACCCACTCTACTTCAGGTATGTGGTGATTCCTCAGTGTGATCACTGCATCTGGAGAGTGAAAAGCTCTTAGACATTACAGTGATGGTCCTGCTCCCTTGTTCTCTCTTATCCATGGAACCTGCTGGACCACAGGGGCACTAGTCCAACATTCAGGTGGACTTTTGGGTCTTATTCTAAAGATCCTATGTGAGTTACTGCATTGCCGTAGACAGAACAGGTCTCTCAAAGCAATGATCTGTTCTGTGGCAATCTCACAGTGCAGCTGCACAACAGGCAAAACAAACTACGCTGAGGCTGCCAGACTGCCAACCGTTCATCTCCTTATCCTAAAATTCAGCCCCTATGTTTTCACACACTTCATTCCAGCAGTTGCTGGAAGTGCAATTTCCAGAAGTTGCTGGAAGAAGTGTATCTCTAAGCTCAGAGTGAGCAGGCATGGTTCCATGAGCTTGCAGAATTTGCTGCTGTTGTAGGAGCAGTTCTCTCTGGCTCAGCCTGGCTTTTTGAGAGGTCAGATGAATTTTGGTGACTTCGCAAAAATTGGTCTTCATTAAACTGGTCCCAGTTAAACTGGAGGAGAGCAGCATCAAACCAACACCCTGATCATGCAACAGAGAATCCTGTTTTAAATTCCTGTTCATTCTTCATTGAAAAAAATCTCACCTGAAGAAAAGGAAAACTTCCTTATGCAAAAAAGCCTTTAGTCACTCATCTCTAAAACAAGCCTCTGTTCCACATATATCAACTCTGTCTCTGTATACTCTTTGCAGGTTCTCATCCAAAATGCCACCTTGGCAGGAGGAGTAGCAGTGGGTACCTGTGCTGACTTGTCAATAAACCCTTTTATTGCCATGTGCATTGGGAGCATTGCTGGAATCATCTCTGTCCTTGGGTTCCACTTCCTGACTGTAAGTACTGAGGATCCAGCTCTGCTCTCATGTATTTATTGTTTATTTGGCTTTACTGGAGCTCCTTTAGTTTGCTAGAAAGAGAGTTTAGAACCTGGCTGGTATCACCAGTATAGACAGCAAACTCTAGATAACAGCAATTTTTAAATCAGTTGGGATTTAAATGTATGCTTATGAGCTAACTTCAGTCTATCACCTAGAAGCAGAGAAGGATCACAAAGACATTAGAGTTCACTAAAATTGGTATCTCTATTCAAGGAGCTGCCAAAAATCTTCCTCTAAATCCAGGAATAAGTGAAATAGGACTATTCACTCTTTTAAAATATCTAAATAGATCTGTAATCATAAGTACTTAAGAACTGCAAAATGGAATTATTTCATATTCAAAGTGTAGAAAAAAATATTCTGACTAAAATGAATTAAACTGGAATTTCCTGATGGAGAAACATTCTGGAAGAAATTACCCAGCAAGCAGACTCAGAACAAGTGTATGGGCTACTTAGCCACCTCTTTCAACTTTCATTGCAGTGGCTGAAAAGATTAAGTAGACCGTCCTGTGTTTTGCACCATTATATTTACGATGGTAGCTTGGAAATTTGTAACCTTCTACCTCAAGACTTCGGTTTGTCTGCATATAAACAATTTCACAGTGAAGGGAAAGAAAACTTGGCTTATATCTAAACTTTGTGTACCTAAATTAATTGTTTCATATATTTCTGCACTACTTTCTTTCGCATATCATTCTAGAGATAATGGAAGACTATAAATTCACTATAAACTTCATCTTCCTCCTCATTTCAGCCTTTGTTGGCATCCAAGTTGAACATTCATGACACTTGTGGAGTTCATAATTTACATGGGTTACCTGGAATACTGGGAGGTATTGCTGGCATCGTAGTAACTGCAATAAATGAGGAAAATAGGTGAGTTACAGAGAGAAGAGAGAAAGGAGTCTATTGATTTTTAAAGGCTTATCCTAATTTTCCACCCTCCTTGAATCTAATTATGACTTTTTTTTCAGAAATTGCATCTTTGATTTGATGTCAGACATTGTGTTCCGATTTAAATAGGACTGTTCTTGATATCCTGCCTTTAGCACACTGTTTATATGACAAGCTTCCTCCAAATTAAAAGTTCAAGTAAAAATAAATAAATCTAAAACACCATAAAAACCAGCATACAGAACCATTCAAACATAGGTGAATCTTCAGCATGATTCTACAATTACACTGCTGGTAACTGAAAGATTTCCCAGAAATTAGCAAAATGGGCTATTTCAACTATCTTAAAGGACTCCAGAAAGGTATAATAATGGCCTTTTGAAGGTCCTAATAACTTTTCCAAAAACCTTGTTTTCATCTGTAGTCTTAAAACAAAACCAAAATAAAATCATGATTTCTGTCTTGTACAGAGCAATGGCTCATATTTTCCTATGACCCACTTTGTCCAGCAGACAGCAAGTAAAATATTGTAAGAAAGACAAACTACCGGTCTCAAAATGCAATAACTACTTTTTGATTATCAATGGTTTGGTTTTCTGCCCTTTTCAGGCGAAATAGCCGCCTAACTCCTGGCATGCAGGCTGCTGCCCTGGGCAGCACAATCGGAATTGCACTGGCGGGTGGAGCACTGACAGGTCAGTATGACACACGAAGCAACTGAAATATGTGTGAATTTAGAGTTTTGTCCTTGGAGAATTCAATGTATGAACAATTTCATGTAAATAATACAAAATAGAAATAACGCATGATGGCAAACTGGCAGAAACTTAAATATGGAACAACAGTTTTCCAATAATTTTGACTTCAAATGAAGCCTAGATATCTTGCCGAATACATACTCCAAAGAAACTCCGTTCTATACACAGGAATAGTAAGACATTGTCATGGATTAAATTCTTCTCTTAAAAGTCTGAACAGAAACTAGTTTGAGATGAAGGCATATTCATTTAGGTGTTACATATTTCCATGTGACTGTGGATATTTTACAAACAAAAATCCAGGCTGAAACATAAAATTCCAGTCTGAAATCTGGGAAAGGTCTGAGCAATTAAAAACAAGCTCTTATTCATATTGACTTGAAGAAAACTGCATCAGTTCTCCTAATGAGTGACCAGGTGGTTGGGAATTTCTGAAGACTAGGAAATGAGTCAGAAAACATAGAAGACTCCCCATGTCACATCTGAGAAACATTTGGGCATTTTGTCCTTTTTTTTAACCTCTGATGCTGTTTTTCTGCAGGTGGAATTCTAAAGCTGCCTTTCTTGGGACAAGTGTCTGACCAGAACTGCTTTGACGACTCTGTTTTCTGGGAGGTAAGATACAACCTTTCTTTATTTTCATTATGTTGGAATACACGTGGCACCCTGCAGTCCTGCTTTCCTAGGGTTTGTGGCTTGCACATATAAGTCAACATTCAAAAATGCTTCTCTAGCTGAGGATGTGAAATTATCAAGACTACCTTCAGGGTCTTTTTTGGACTGGCTAGCTTGTCATGCCATTACGTTGGACTAACCTTGAATATGAAGCAGAAACAGATCCAAAAAATTGAGACCTCAGTAGAGCTTTTCATGGCTTTTAAGCTCTTGCTGTGACAGGCATTATCTTCCATATTGTAGTCTAGACGCTCTATTTGCATTTTTGGGTAAATGGTGCTGCTTTTCTAGCATGATCTGGATTTTTATACTGAATGAAACATGCTCTAGGTGGCCCTTCCTCGGCAGGGGGTTGGACTAAATGATTTCCAGAGGCCTCTTCCAACCCTAACTATTCTGTAATTCTGTGAAATGTAGAGCTCTTCTTCAGTATTTGTAGGGCGAGTCTCTCTTAAGCCAAGGGGAAGCTCTTATGCTTCCTGGTTGAACAATCTGACCACTGAGGTTATCAGAAGAAGACAGCCCCCCGGCACTATTTTTTTATGCATGAAGACACAAGCAATGGGCTGAGAAACAAGTATATCTGAAATAGCCCTGTTAGGCTCCTTTTATGCTTTATGAAGGGATGGCTCTTCATCTGAATCCTTCCAGATATGTGTTAGGCTACATGAATTAAAACCCTGAAAACATCTATAATCCCCAGTGATAATGAAACACCTTTCATTGCCTACCTCAAATGTAGAGCTCTATACTGTACAGACCTAGATTTGATCAATTGAGACACACATATATCTCTGACTTGGATGACAATCAAGTGCAGAGCAGAAATTCAGACATATATATTGCCTCTTGGCTAACTTAAGACATTCCCTGTACCATTTGTAGGCTTTCTGCATCTCCCTTCATTATAGACTGATGACAGGTTCTTAATTTGGGAAATCTGAATTTTATCCTTTACACCAGGACAAACTCAGGAAGAAATACATGATATACATTCCCTTTAAATTATATATTGCGAACCAGAGGGATATTTTGTTAGTTTTTTTCATTAATTAAACTCCACTATGAACCAATCACTCAATCTGGCTTTTTGTCAGAGAGAGTTTGCAGTCTAAGGGGATAAGCTGTAGCAATGACAATCAGAAAAAAACAATTATCAGTGACAGGTCTGCAAGTTATTCTCCATTTGATCTTGGGAAAGTCAAAGCACTGTTTTTTGGCAAAACCTGAAATAGGCTGTCATATGTAATTAATAAAAATATCAGGAATATTAAAGTTCTTAAATGTGCTCAGAAATATTCTGAGTGAGATTTATCAGGTAATGGGAAGTGACATTGATAGTTAGCATACAGTTTTGTTTTACATTTCATTAGAGATGGTCACCTTATTCCTCTAGAGCTCTTTGAAAATTGCAGATATTAATTTTGAACTCTCACAGCTAACATCAGTGTTAAGGAATTCTTCTATTAAGAAAATCCTTATTTCATCCCTCAGAATTCAGAACTGGTGGTTCTTGTCAGGCTGCATCAATGTTAATAAACAGAAACATAATATATACAAATACAGTGATATTCTTGGTGCACTTTGGTCTCCTTATATGGCAAAAGTCTATATCTCATCAACTAAACTCTTCTCTGATTTTCATGGCAGGTTCCAGAAGAGAAGAAACCACAGGAAATTCACTCCAACAACTATGATGAGCACAGCAGATTTGAAGCCACCATGTAGAAAAAGTATTAATCTATAATATTTGCCTTAATGATGCTCTTTCAAGTTTCTAATGCTAAAAAAAACAACTTACAAGTATTGTCCTAACCACACTAGGTTTTCAACAAGGAGCTGTAGGTAGCTATAATTTTAAAATATAAAACAAGCTTCATTGTAGAATACATAGTTATTATACCAAATTCAGGTGAATTAATGGGATCCTTCCAATATATTTGTTCATCAGAAAAACCCACCATAAACTGCTCTACAAAATTACCTATATTTTACCTTTTGTCACCACTGAATCAATATAGCCATTGAAACTTTTGTGTTTCAAGCCTACCACAGGATACCATACATAACTGCAATATTTCTGAGTTACAGTCACATCTGTGACTGCGTAGGGACTGCATAGGTGTAATCAAGAAGAAACAGATTGATATTGCTTATTTGGAATCTAACAAGCTTTTCACCAGAGCATCATAGATTAACTTTTTCAGAAAGTGTGTTGTCCTGGTTTTGAATGGGGGAGGAAACGCTCTGTATTTCAAAGATTGGTTATGACAAGAAAGAAAATGTTGAAATAATTTCCACGCCAAAGCACGGAAGGTAGTGATTACTCAGGTATACTAAGTAGCAATATTATTATCAAGATTCTTTGTTACTATGTTGATTGAAAGAGAGAAGAAAGTGAAATGATGAAAAAAATTGAATCTTGGTGTAGATTTATTTAGATTGCTCCAAGACACAATAGGGGAATTGAGTAAGGCTACGAAAAAAAGGTAACAACATAATACTTCTTATTTTGTCCAACATTAATAAGTGGATAGTAGTACTGTTAATGTGAAAAGATACAAGCTGAACTAAATGCTAGCACCAAGAAAAAAAACATGAGTTCTTAGGAACTGATCAGAAAGCAACTGTATTCAACCTACAGAAGACTCAGTGAAGAACTTCTGTGTGGTGAGTCACTACTTTTGAAGTCACTGCCTCCTAAAACAAGAAAAAGCAGAAAGAAGAAAAGTGTAGCTAAATTAAGATAAATTAACTCCATCCGAGGAATGATGATAATGGCTGCTCAACTAAGAGAGACAAAAACTGTGATATCTAAAGGAGCTCAGAGTTGCCAGTAGTTGGGAGCAGAGCTACACGTCTACGCCTACCTACCTGTGGTAATCCATTGAGAGGCAGTGGATGGGAGATGAAAATCTAACAGAAGGATTACAGTGCATCTAGGCATTAATCAGAAACAGACACTGTTGATCCAGAAGGACAAGCTACAGTGGATGAACTGTCAACACTGTTTTATATTACCAACTTATTTCAAGTCTTACTTAACAGATTTAAGAGGGAAAGAAGCTCCTCTCATAACAGATATTTTCATTTCTGTTGATGCATTTTTCCTTTAAACACTTTAGAAATTCTATGATTCTGAGATCCATATGTGTTTGCTTTCCTCCTGTGGTCTCCACTCTGCTATGATGGAGAGATGCTGATCACGCACAAACCAAAATTCATTCATTTTCTAGAAGCCTTAGAAAAGTGCCTCAGCTATGGACAGATGAATCCAGGCCTTACAGTTTGACCACCCTTCATGAAAAGTTTGGATATCTTGTTTCAGACTGTTCTTCACTCTGAACAGACTCTTTCTATGCAACAGACAGTGTACAAAGCTGTGTCATCAGGAAATTAAATACAGAGTTGTTGGCTTTAAACATTACTTTCTTTTTAATATGACTGTGTCCTTGAATTGTATGGCTTGTTTCTTCTAAGGTTATGTACCCTAATTTCTCACCTCCATACTTCAGATTCCAGTGGCATTTGGTTCTCTGTCTAAGGGTATTTTCTTTGGTTGGTTGTTCCTAAATTAATCAAAGCTTTGAATGCCCTGAGTCCATAGAGCTTCTTTCGTACATAGCTTCTGTGTAATATGTTACTGGACACTATGGAGAGGTGTCCAACCTTACAGCTTAAAATGTTTTGCTAAGAACTATTTTGCTCATCAATGAGGGAGCCACACACTGGCAGAAAAGGAAAGCAAGGAGTTAAACTAGACACAAGGTGAAGGATAAGCTTTGAGGATGGGGCTGAAACAAGAAGTTAAAATACAACTACTCTAAATTTGAGGTTCATGATGACTAGCATTTCTTTTTGTTCTCATAAACATTGCCAATGTTTTACTCTCTCCCAATAACACTCTTTTTGAGTTATCTTTGGTCTCAGTGTGACTTCTTTTTATATAAAAAAGCTTACATAGAATCATACAATCATAGAATAGTTAGGGTTGGAAAGGACTTTTACCTCATCTAGTTCAAACTCCCTGATATAAGTTGTTGGGTTTTTTTAAAGTGAGTAAAAATTCATTCATTTATTAAGCTGTGCACAAAAATATCTGGAAAAATAATGGTTAAATGGCAGCAACTGCATGAAACTTTCAACTTGAAATTAAATTCCACCATCAGGATTCTGAAAGCTCTTTCTTAGATTTCTGCCATTCTCAGAAGACACCTTAGAAGGCTGTTCATACTTCTCAAATCAGTAGCATTTCGGAGGTTAGGTAAGCCAAACTTTAAGACATATTTTCTATTTCCAGTCCTAACCAGAAAAGAGGTACCTTTCTTTGTAAGAGTCAAACTGACTGAAGCCACTGCGATTGGCGGTTTTCTAAGTGAAAACTTCAAATTTAATGTTTCTAATGTAGTGGTTTTTTATTTGATAAGATATTAAGTACAGATGGATTAAATTTTAATTAAATAAAACAAATAAGTTGGACTTAAAGAAATAAAAAGTTTTATCTTATCTCAGCTTTTTAGCAATTATTTCTTATTTAAACTAACAAAATGTCAAGCTTATTGACACTTAGCCCTTTTTGAAAACACTGGTGGGTGATCAAAACTTTGAAGACTGTCTTACAGATATGCAGTACTACCTCTTTCAGAATATTTTTTGTACTTCATTCCTGAAAGGCAAATTTATTTTAAAGCCATTTACTGAACATTTGTCTATCAAATTTCTTTTAACATTTGTATTCAAATCTGTTGCTGATTAGATGCATGAATTAAACGATCAGTTAATCAATTGTTATTTGTCTGTTATTCCTTGGGGACATACAGTCTTCTTTCACTCTCACTGGGATCAAGCTCTTAACAAAGTATGTATGGTGGGGCTCTTGCAGAGTTCACCTCTCACTCTCCCTTAGGAGTTTCCATCTCAGACCTGGATCTCTTCTCAATTGCTTTTTCCATCCAACCAAAGCCCTACAAGGTTACACTACACTACCTTCCCAGAGCTTTTATCAGATTCATTTCTGACTCTGAAACAAGAAATGCATAAGCTTACTACAAAATACAGTAACAGTCCACTGACATATGTGTCCCTACACCTATGAAAATTCTCATCAAGCAAACAAGCCAGGGATTGGTCTCTTATACTGCACAGGTCATATACCCACACAACTACACTTTCTATTCCCTTACCTCCAAAGCAGACCTTGGTTATTTACACATTCATACAAATACAGACACATACAGAGAGATACAAATACTAGTACAACCTACTGCAAAGAAAATGATAGATGTTGTCCTGATTCAGAACTACTATACAAACATGTACAAGAATACCAGAGGAAATCCTATATTTGGAACTAAGAACTAATTTAGTTTAGAATTGCATTCATGTTAGTGAGATCCATTGAACTCAGGACCTGGCATCTCCAACATCTTCCATGAAGAGAAAAGGGAAAGCCTGAGCAACTATCATCCTTCTTCTCCCACTTCCTCCCATTCTCAAAGTTCAAGGCAGTGTTTGAGTTGCTGTTTCTAACTGGACTTATGTCCACAGACATCTCCGCCAATGCACAGGACTAATTTAGACATGACCCATTAAACAGTAACCAGCAAATGGTAAAGTAAGTGCACATAGTGGTGAAAATGCCTAGCAGAAATTCTTCAAGGGTAAAACTCCAGACCAGCATTTCTAACATTTCTTAAAGGTGTAGTTTGTATCACTGTATGTGTAGAATCTCAGAATCATAGAATGGTTTGGGTTGGAAGGGACTTTAAAGACCATCCAGTTCCAATGCTCCTTCCACCTTCCACTAGACCAGGTTGCTCAAAGCCCTGTCCAACCTGGCACTGAACACTGCCAGGGATGGGGTAGCCACAGCTTCTTTGGGCAACCTGCACCAGGGCCTCACCACCCTCATAGTGAAGAATTAATTCCTAAGACCTAATCTAAATCTACCCTTTTCCTTTTTAAAGCCATTATCCCCTGTCCTATCACTCCATGACCTTGTGAAAAAAAACCTCTCCAGCTTTCTTGTCATCCCTTTAGGCACTGAAAGCTGCTCTAATGTCTTCCTGGAGCTTTCTTTTCTCCAGGCTGAACAAGCCCAGCTCTCTCAGCCTGTCTCCATAGCAAATATGCTCCAGCCCTCAGAGCACCTTTGTGGCCACTGGACTTGCTCCAATAGCTCCATGTCCTTCTTATGCTGAAGGTATACTTAAACTATAGTTTGCAAATTGCTAAATCTGGACTGAAAAAAATCAGACTGCCTAGTGCATAAACAGCAAGCTCAGCATTCCCCAAAAATATGGCTCACATGCATAAAGTGACCAGGGAGTAAAGTATTCTCAGATCACAGGAAAGAAAGAAGCTATAGGGTATGTGGTATACCTGTACAAGGAGCCTGGATACAAAATCAATTTTACCATGCTTTTGCTACACTGAAATGTCTCAATGAATAATAAATACTTTCTGATATCATGTAAATGCTGTCACACACCAGGCTCATTTCTGTTCCTTTAAGTTTTGAAACAGAAAAAAAAAAGTTAGCAGAAGAGCTGGCTAAAACAATAAAACAAGTTGCTAGAAAACATTTCCATCTCCTTAGTGGCAAGTTGCAAGTGTTTGAGTCTGACATCTACTCTATATCTGCAAAATAGTAATTTGGGGCTGAGAGTTTTCCATGTATTCAGTGGTCTTTGATCGATTTGCTACCACTAATTCATCCAGTCACTTTTTCATGTTCTAAAGAACAAAATATTAATGTTAAGTCTTTGTATTTGCAAAACAGGCACAAAATTATTATTAATTTGTTTCTGTAGTATTTTCAGACCTCTGGCCAGTAAATTCCACCTAACATCTTTCATTCTTGTAGATGTACATCTTCCCACACCTTGGATTCCTCCTAAAGGCTAACAAAACTCTTCTCCAAAACAGAGATGAATTCCATGATTATATACAAGTCACTTTTGTAGAACATCTCAAAACCCTGGACAAAAAGAGTTAAATAGCAGGAGGTAACTGAATCTTTTCTCATTTATTCCAACTTTTATAGCTATATGAAAACATTTACAATTTCCCTTCAGACTTTATAATTATGGCTATATTTCTTTAGAGAACCTATCTTTGACAAAACACATATAAGAAACCAGTAGAGCTGGATATCAGATATCTCACTCTGTTGTAGTTCCAATCCCTTTTAATCAACAAATATTTATCCTTATTTATGCTTGTCCCAGTTTTGCCTGAGATAGAGTTTATTTTCTTCCTAGTAGCTGGTGCACTGCTGTGTTTTTGCTTTAGTCTGAGAATAATGCTGATAACACACCAGTGTTTTAGTTGTTGTTAAGTAGTATTTACCCTGGTCATGATCTTCCCAGTCTTTCATTCTCTGCCAGTGAGGAGGGGCACAAGAAGCCAGGAGGAAGCAGAGACAGGACACCTGATCCAAACTAGCCAAAGGGGTATTCCATACCACAGCATGTCGTGCCCAGGATGTGACTCTAGGGGGAGTCACCCAGAAAGGACCAATTACTGCTCGGGTTGGACTGGGAATCGGTCAGCGGGTGGTGAGCCATTGTATTGTGCATCACTGCTTGTTTTGGTTTTGGTTTGTAGCAACTATACCTAAAGGCAGGCAACTTCGACATGTGTTTGAATACACAACTACTTTTACCTACTTTCACTTAAGGACAGTTCTTACGACCTCAGGTACTTTCAGATTGAGAACAAATACTCCATACCTTTTTTTTTTTTTTTAAGAAAAAAAGGTATCTATGTGGTTCATGAAGTTCAGAACCCACATGGTAAATTGTTTGCAAGTAAATCACCCTTACTGAAAGCAGTATATCTTTGCTTAACAAAAATTAAGATAGCTGGCATGCAGTAAAATCCTGAACTCATAATCTGTGTTAAGTTACAATGAGCAGTGGTTATGTCAGTAAATATTCCCCTTGTCCTTGATCAAAATCCTATTATTTCTAAATATTTATATTTTTTTTCATGCAATACAAAATAAATATAAACCAAACAAGTACTTAGTTTGGCTTTCCTGACCCTACATGTAGCAGCTACAGAGGCTTTTAATCTCTCATAGGAGGATAGAGATAATTATCTTAAGTCTCATTAGGAGTATCAGCAGCTTGTAAACAAAAGACCAGGTATTTGAGGGGTAAGTCGACATAAAGAGCACTGCTGTCTTCCAGTAGATCATTTGACTGGAGAAGGCACTTAATCTTTTAAGGGAGAAGCTCTATCATGAAAAAAATAAGGGAGAGGTTAAAGTGCACAGGAAAAGATACTTTCAACTTTATTTTCTTCCTCTGAAGCGGAAGATGACCTGACAGTTAATAAAATGTAAGGTGAGTACACAACTCTAAGATTAGAGCTTTGCTCTATAATGCTCTTACCTGCATTCTCAGCCATCTGCATTAAAACATATATATACACATATAAAGAAAAAACAACAACAAAAAAAAAACACAAAACCAAAAACCATAAAAAATCCCAAACAACAAAACCCAATTAAAAAAAATAATACAACCCACCTGGTTTAAGTGATGAATGTAAAAGTGTAAAAAAAATCATGTATACTTGATACTCAATTATTCAATTCCCTACCATGGAGGATTTTTTAGTTAAAAGTAGTAAGAAAGCTGAACTGGAGATTTGCAACTGAGCATCAGATAATCATACTTTAAAATCTGTGTTTCAAATTTAAAGTGGATTTAACTCCAAAACAAACGTTAGTTTGGTAACAGATACTACCTGCATTGATTTATAAATGTGATAATAAATGTCCAAATATAATGGAATATGTTACTCATCCTATAAAAATACCCAGACCAAGAATCCTAAGATAGTATGTAGTATCATTAGAAGTCATCACAGGTACAAAAAAAGAAACCCAACCCCAAAACCTGGATCGATCACTTAAATCACTACAGTTGCAGAATGCCTCTACATATTTGTATATCAATATTCACAGAAACAGAAATTCAGCAGTTACAGCTGTAAAACTACTAGAAGAAAATACTGTTTCCATGATCAGCATCCTGCTGCTCTACAGTAACACAGAGTGCTAGCCCAGGTTATCTTCTTCAAAGGAGGCTCCATATAGAAACCAGGTAATTCTATTTTTCTTTCCATTTGAGATATATATATATGTATATTTCAGTTTTTCAGAGGAAGTCCACCTTCTCATAGATCTTTTCAATGAGGGTTAACAAGTTCTTCAAGTCAGCTGACTGCTGAATAGCATTCATATCCTTTAAAAGACCTTTCTGATTTTCCATCTTCAAAATTTGTTCCTAAAAGGAAAACAAAATAAAAGACAACAAACAACAGCTTTCATCAAGTCCAACAGAAATTTCACTTTCATGCAGCCTAGCTGTACCTGAATACAGCAAAAATAAAAACGATTCAAAGACACAGAATGAGACAGTCTTCCTTCCATCAGTTACAGAGAGATATTTCATAAAATAAATTACAGGTTCCATAAGACCACAGGGTTCCTAGGAAAAGACATGTGATCCTTTAAATGGCAGGGGGTTTAGGGTTTTGTTCTGTTTTTTTTAAACTTAATCTAATAGATCTAAATGAAAAAAGAAAAAAAAACACCACCTATATTTCAGAATTTTCAGAATTGCCCCCTTGGCAGAGGTTAAGTGATAAAAGCACACTCTTGCCTTCCTTCTCTAGCCAAGGCGTCTCTGAAAATATATTCCATGCTCACCTGCAAAGTGGGTGCCTGTAAACTGCGCCTGGGGAGTTTTGGAAGGTGGAGTGCTCCACTGACATTTTCCTGGAATACCTAAAAAGGGGAAAAGAGTTAAAAATAGATAATTAAACCAAAACCAAACTTCAAGCACACAAGTAGGAAAATAAACTGGCTGTCATTATCCAATTTCTGAAAACTAAACTTTCAACAGCATTGTCCTAGTTTCAGCTTAAACCATAGCATCTATTGGGAATACCTTCTTGGCCTTTTTTTCATCTTCCTCTAACTGGTTCTTGAGCACCTGGATTTTGTACTGCAGTTGCTGTATGTTTTCTTCCCTGCGGTCTGCTGATTGCTTAGCTTCATTTATTTCTTCCTAAGACAAAATAGACATAAAACCAGAATAAAATTTACCTTAGAGATGGTAAGTCTTTTGTGTATGAGACGCTGATAATCAGCATCAGCCAAGTCACTGAAAAATCATCCGAAAAGATACACTGCTTTGTAGTGAAAGTGAGTGATAATGATGAACAGCGGATGTCAACTCACACCACCACAGGCACAGACAACAGTCCAACTACTAAAAAGCTACAACACAATGAGCAACAGCAGATAGGCAAGATATTTTTCTCCCTTCCTTGCTTTTCATACCTGCAATCGTACCAAACACTCTTCATTTGCCTTTAGCATTTGTTTCTCCGCCATCTGAAGGTTCGAGAGATTCTTCAGGTTGCCCAGCTTCTGTGGAGGCACCTTTAAAGTCCTGAAACATCTCAGTACTCTTTATTACAGAGAAAGAAGAGCATAATTTGTTTGGAATTCTTTGCAAAGCAAGAAGTTACTAATGACTTCTCTGAGAGAAACTGAATTCAGTTTAGCCCAATTACTGCCAGTGAAGTGAGAGGATCCAAACAGAATAAAAAGCTGTCTTAAATTGTTTTCCAAAAATCATGTGGAATAGATGTCTAAGGGAGAAACTACAAACAAGAAATCTGACTACTCTAACCTTTGCTATTACGTTGACATTGTGTGGTTTCTATCCCAATGGCCTGTACACTCCCTGACTGCAAACTGACATTAACTAATATTTTCCCAGTTCTAACCTTTCTGCTTGGAAAGTAAAACTAAGTTCTAAAAGCAGCATTTTTAACTGCTTCCAAAAAAGATCATTTTAGTAAAATCTGTAAGTGCTTTTGTGAAACATTATATCGTTTTACACCAGAGGAAGAGTTTCAGCTTGCTCTCAAAGGTCCTTCCAATTCCGTATTGGTACACCAAACAGCCATGCATCTCAGATAAGACTGCAGAAGTCTGGCAACTCAGAAATTAAATATTACAAATTAAACATTTAAACAAAATAACTTATGAAAAACTAGCTCCTCATGTTTGAATCCTGAAGCACTGTAAGAATAAAGAAAGCAACATATAGGATTAGGCCCTATGCTGATAAGAGCCTAGAATACATACACACACAGACAAAAATTTTCAGAGAGTGTACGTAACTACTCCCACAATGACATAAAAAGGCTACAAGTTATACTCCAACACAAAATTTCAATTCACTTTGAAGTAACTTCGACAGCCAGAAAATGAACTAGCATTTAAGAAAGTTTTGCTATAACTACTCCCTCCACTTTCATGAGATGGTAACAAAATAAATAACTGCCTGCAAAGTTAAACCCTGTATAAAGAGTACAAAGCTGATTAAGGAGCATTTAAGAATACCTCCTCGGTTCTGTTACTCCTATAGAAGTAGTTAAAGTGGGTCTTTCATCTACATTTGCTTGTCCAATCAACGAACTGTTGAGATATTTCCCCAATTGATTTTGCACCAAGTCCCCCTTCCAAGATTTCCTAAATGGAAATTTCCTAAATGCTCCCAGAAGCAATTCTGTAAACATGGTACAAAACAACTGGATAAACTAAATCCTTCTCTCTTTTTTTTTTAATTATAATTTCTTACCTTTCTTTCAGTAAATTGAGGTGCTCCTGAACATCACCTTTTCTTTCCCTTTGTTGGCACAAAATAGATCTGGAAAAAAAATAAAGGCAGAATTTTCATTGCAAAGCCTGCAAGTACAGGGAGTACATCAGATTAGGTGAATGTAGAACTTCTCTAGCTAACAGTTTCTAAATTCAGATATAAAGCGTTATATTATACCAGACAAACTATACATAGCCAGCCACATTGCCCAAAAATGCAAAGCTTTTCCAGTTCAAGCAACGTCATGATTTTTACTTTATTCCAACCACCAAGACATCTGGCACTTACAGTATTATTGAATCCATTAAAGTTTCCAGAAACTGCCTACTGTTCTCTGAGAGAGTCTTCCAAGATCCTATTTTAGCACTGGTTAGCTTCACTTTTTTTGAAAAAACTTTTTCTCCTGTTAATACGAAGGCAAAAAAGAAAAAAATATGATTTGTCAAACCTGGATAGACAGCTTTTGACTCCATTTAGATCATAGTCAAAGGCGTAACAGTTAAGATTTTTCCACGTCACAAATCTATCAGGTCAGATCTATCCGCATTAGGTAGTATTTCTTATTTTCAAGTCACAATCTGTTTAAAAAGCACAAACCAGAAAAGTATCTTTATTACAGTAGTTTCATTCTAAAGATATATTTCCCAAAGTCACTGGCAATACAAGCAAGAAAACCCAGACTGAAATAAAATGGAGTGGGAATATACATAGGAGATAAATTTGGTGCAGCAGGGGCTGCATCTCTGTACATCCAACACAGCACACCAGTCTTAAGACAGAGGGTTAACAGAGAAGACTATGACCTGTGAAGAGATGTTCTGGGTGCTTGTGGTGGGATTTTACAAGAGAAGAACACTACTTGCAAACAAAAGTATATGATTAATTCATGCATATACAACACATATATAGCATAAGGCACTGGAATGGGTTGCCCAAGGAAGTTGTGAATGCTCCATCCCTGGCAGTGTTCAAGGCCTGGTTGAACAGAGCCTTGGGTGACATGGTTTAGTGTGAGGTGTCCCTGCCCATGGCAAGGGGGTTGGAACTAGATGACCTTAAGGTCCTTTCCAACCCTAATATTCTATGATTCTATGATTCTGTGAATACTCACCAGCTAAGACTGCACTGCAAATACTGTTACCATTCAGAAAGAAAAGTCTGAAACTTATTTCAGTGACGCTTCATATATCTAGGATTTCAACATAGCAACTTTTATTTTTTTTTTTAAACACTGAATTTACATTAGACAAACATAAGGAAACATAAAGAAAGAATACAATCCTACTTGCAGGGGAATAGTCGCTGTCTTCCTCAGCTTTCCTTTTGACTGTCTGAGTGACCTGCTGAAGAAAAGCACTTGCAGCAAATGTGGTAATTTTGAAACACCATCTACTACTAGCAATCCACTGTAAAAAGACTGTGAAAACTCGTCAATGCTTGACAGAGGTCTATTGATGCTCACCACAAAAAAAGGCTTTTCGAACTGAGAAACAGTAATTCATCTCAAGCAGGTTGAGGAAAGCAATTCACTCATCCTCATTCCTCCCATTCCAAGAATGAGGTCATGAAATAAGAAATGCATAAGGTATTTGGCTGTCTAGCCACATCTTGAGTTCATGTCATTCATAAATTCAGGGGTTAAGCAAGCTCTCTCCAACAAAAAGCTGCCTATGCCAATCCTGAGACATGCAGGGAATATATTCCAGGACTGAACAAATAGAGCTAAATGATGTCTGAGTTTATCACTCTGTTCAAACAGATGCTATGCAGCTCTTCATAATTGCACAGCCAGCCTGCCCTTTTATTAATGACTGGGCAATGTTTCCCTCTACTTGTCACAGGCACAGTAGCACACAACTAGAAATTCTAGAAACCAGGAAGCAGCTAAGGCACTGGGTGTCAAAAGACCTGTTCACACTGGACATTTCCTCAAGAGGACTGTGTTTAGTTAATGAAATATTCTCTAAAAATTCCAGTTCAAAAATAGGCAAAAATGCCTCTTCCCTCCCTCCCCCCCCCCCCCTTTGGTTACTTTTCTAATTTGATACAAAATAATGATTACCTTTCCTTTATGACCTTGTTTTCTTCCTTCTATATCTGTTCCCTTTTTCTTGCTGGAATGCCCTGGTTGATTTTGTGATTTAACTGTTTTCTTTACTGATGTCCCACCAGCGGTCTTCCCCATTTTACTGCAATATACATGACGTTCATTATCCATAAACCAAATGAAGCAGGAGGACAAAACCCAAGTTAAAACCCAGCAATTACAGTCCATACAATACAACCACACATTAACAAACAAAATTAGATGGAAACACCCAGTGCTAAATGAGTCCAAACATTTGCATGTTTGCTAACCCTAAGCCTTTTAAATCTTGCATACTTATTGAATTGCAGGACCACTAAAAAAGCATCTCCATTTGCCTTTTAGATGAGTCTTTGTCTGTTTCACACCTCTTTCTAAACTGAACAGTCTAATTTGTTCCTAAAGGCCTCCAGCAATAGAAATTCTTTATCTTTGTAATGCAGTTTAGTACAGTCATCTTATTACCAGAACTTTTTGCCCTAGCACTTAACTATAATGTTCCTTACTGTGATATGCAGATAAACTCCACAACTCGTTAAGGTTGTAAAGTAGGTATGCTTTTATTCAGCACTGAGGCGCATGGGGGATAGCTCCTCCAAAGGCATACACAGCCCAGTGTTGTTTCCCTCTACATTTATCCTCTAAAGTAATATATATATATTAGGTTACACAATACGCCTATACATATTCAAGTCCTATCCCCGTTTCATATTATAATGAGCTAAAAGGTCCTTTGCGCCTGCGCAGTGTCCCCTAAGGGTTACCAGCGAGGGTCTCAAGATGAAGTAAATGAGCCTGAACTTGTCGCCTCAGGCCTGAACTTTTCACTTCTAGTTGTCCGGCATGCTCCCTGGGTGTTTAAACCCCAAAGGTGGTTTTAGCCAGCTTAGGGGTCCAGAGGGCAGGAACTAATTTACAGTTCCTTCCTCTTATCAGCAGTCTACATTGTTTAGCAAGCAACTTCAGCCCCTAATTAATCATCCCTTAACCCTAACTCCCATGCATTGGTTAACCCCTCGCATCAGCTGCAGTTTAAACCTACACTTTCTTTTCTTACTCGCTATAGAGATGGAGGAAAAAGAACCACACAAGACAGAATAGCTGTTACACCACACTACTTTTCTCTTTTGTAAGTACAACAGCAACTCAGATGTATTCAGTTTTTCTTGCATTCCTTCAGGCCACTTCTCCCTTCATACAGAGGATCGCAGCTCGACAGACGACAGTCACAATGAACACCAGCTAAATCACACAATGGTTTGGGTTGGAAGGAACCTTAAAGCACATTCAGTTCCAACCCCCTGCCACGGGCAGGGACACCTTCCACTAGACCAGGTTGCTTCAAGCCCCATCCAAACTGGCCTTGAACACTGCCAGGGTTTGAGCAGCCACAGCTTCCCTGGGCAACCTGTGCCAGTGCCTCGCCTCACCACCCTCACAGGGAAGAGTTTCTTTCCTCTATCTAATCTACATTTCTCCTATGTCAGTTTAAAGCCATTCCCCCATGGTCCTATAAACAAGCCATGCCTCTCACCCGTCCTCCAGTAGCTACAGGTTTTGTGGGACAGCGTTAGCAGAACCACTAGTCCTCAGCGCGGACTACAACTCCCGGAATGCAATACTGCCCGCCAGGGCTATAGGGCACTCGAGCGAAACGCATGCTGGGAGTTGTAGTCTTAACCCTCCCCCCCCCCATCTGGCCCCGTCCCCAAACTCCTGCCCCCCGTTGCTGCAGGACGACACCGCGGGAACCTCCACAACACCATCCACCAGATCTCACCGCCCCGACACCCGCCCAAGGCCCCCACACTCAGTCAGTGCCTCACCACACCCGCAGATCCCGCGCTAGACCGCCAGCCGTTACCAAACCGATCTGCCCGCGCAAAGGGGCGCACGCGCAACTGCTCGTTCCCGCCTCCCGCATGGAGGACGGTGCACGAGCCGTGCTCTGTACGCATGCGCCTTGCCGTGCAACGCGCAAGCGCTGTGCTGCGCGGGTGTCGGGGGCCAGCTGAGGGGCAGACAGCAGGTAGCGGAGGGTAGCTGTGTCTGGGGTTTGTCGTGATTCTGTAACTCGTTCCCCCTGCCTCCGTCCCGCTGGCGGGCAGGGCCGCGACCCTCTGGGGCAACGCCCGCACCGGACCTCTGGTCCCATAGGCCGCCATGGGGGCGTGTTGGGGGCAGGTTGTAGCGGCGGGGGGCGCTGGGCACGCACAGACGCTGGGCCTGTCAGGGCGGTTATGGGGCGGCCAGGCGCGGCGTGGCGCAGAGGGGTGGATGAACCGTGCTTTCTAGTCTCTGTCCCTCCTCCGGGTGTGGGTGCAGTGGTATGGGGGGTGGAGGGGGAGGATTGTAGGAAGGTGACAGGGAAGCTTTGTGGTTACTTCGTTGTGCGTGGCCGGGGAAAGCGCGCTGGGACCCGTGCAGCAGTGGAGGCAGAGGTTGTCTTGATTCTTGCTGCAGGATCACGTCTCTCCGGGGAGCTCTGTACTCCTCTGGTGCATCTTCGTGCTTATCAAATTGCATGTAAAGCACACGTGGCATATCTATTATTAAAGCTGCAGTAAATGTTGCTGCAGTAAATGTTGCTGCAGTAAATGTTGCTGCAGTACCATAACTGTGATAAAGATGCTTTCCAGTTTTGTGCATACTTTCTCATAAAGGTGTCAGGGTAGCATGTGTTTCCAGGGAGTTCTGAAGGATATGAGCTCGAGAGGAGTTAACAGGACCTTGGAGCCAAACTAAAGGTTTTGGCTTGTGAAGCAAGTGCAGTGATAGGATACACAGAGCAGAAGCTGAAGAACTTACAGCATTCCAGAGTTACTTAACTTATCCCGATATTAGTCTCATGCATGGTGGGATGAGCTCTGCAGCTTGCATCATCCCTGTGTTCTTGCATACCACCTTTCTCAGTATATCTCGGATTTCCATTCAGCCCAAGCCCCCTTTCCCAAAGTGTACAATTGTCAGCAATTTTCTGACAGTCCACTTCCTTCAGAATGCCTCTTTGGGGGTTCCTCTTTGCCATTAAGGAATTCATAGATGAGAGAGATGGGAAGGTAAGCAGGTAGCTCAGCATGCTACCTTCAAGCCTGACACTGATTTTTTTCAGTGACTGATTAGTGATGGTGTTGCTTGGGGACTATAATAAGTTTTAGATGTGGTTGTAGAAAGAACAAAATGTAGGATTTTTTCCTGAACTCAGTTTATACATTGTCTGGTTGAAAGGCGGGGGGGGAGGATATCTATCACGTGCGTAATTAAATACTTAGTTTTTCTTGAGTAGTTGTTTTGGCTTTAGCAAACTGCTAGACCTCTCCATGCTTACTTCTCCCATGTTGGGTTTATATGATAATGCAAAATACATGTTTTTATTTTCTTCAGCTTGCCCCGTACTAACCAGCCAGTGGGACAGCCATGCTAAGAGCCAAAGATGCCCTATTGCGCCTCTGGCTCCACCACTGCACACACCTGGCACAACTTCCAGCCTGCCGGCTCATATGGCGTTCGCTGCACAGGCAGCCGCTGCACCCCGAGTGGGCTGCCCTTGCTGAAAAGCAGCTGAAAGGCAAGAATCCAAAGGATTTAATTTGGCGCACCCCAGAGGGGATTGACATCAAGCCTTTATACTCCAAAAGGGACACAGAAGACCTCCCTGAGGAGCTGCCAGGGATGAAACCTTACACTAGAGGACCCTACCCAACCATGTACACATACAGGCCATGGACTATCCGCCAATATGCTGGCTTCAGTACAGTGGAGGAGAGCAATAAGTTCTACAAAGACAACATTAAAGGTAAGATGGCTACTTTGGGAAACCACATTGCCTTGCAGAACAGTGGGGATCATTCATGTGGTGAGTTACATGGTGAATGTCATTATTCTGCCTTGTGACTTTTGATTTCTGATAGGATCTTCCCAATTGCACTGTATTTCTTTATTACTGGTAAACTGGATAATTTCTGAAACTGCTTTTGCTCCATTTTGCCATTCCGGTAGAAAAATTAATGTGCTGAATGCTATTTTCAGTTGTTCTGCCTTAACAGCTAGAGAGTCATAATTTGGCTGCATTCAAGGCTCCAACCGGCAGAGATTATGGAGCACTTCATGCTTATTATATGATTGTGAGAGAAGATAGCAGCAGAAAACAACGTTGAACTTCGTCACTTGGCTAAACTTCTGGTGTTAGTGCATTCTGACATTTTGGGTTTCCATCTAATATTATAAATTTTAAATTATCTTATAAATACATATTACTTATAAGTAATTTATCTGTGGCACTTTTTATTTCCCACTTTACAGTCCCTCCTTCTTAAAACATAACTGGCTGGGGGGTGGTGGTGTTTGTGGGTATTTACCTCCTATGATAGTCATGGTTAGCTAATATGAAGCAGTATTAGCTGCTTTAGTATCCTTGCAAGTATTATTGATTCTTTCAGTTTATAAAATTTCTTTCAGTTTATAAAATTCTCAGTAGATTAAGAAGTTATTAGAGGTTTACAAACAAACATTTAACTAGAAATATTGCTCTGGATATACTTGGTTTTCCTGGTGAATGCTGCTGCTGAAGCAGAAATGCTAATGCTTGGGTTAGCTGTTGGCACAGCTCAGTAACTCAAGTCTGTTTGCTGCCATCTTTGAGTTTTGAAATTGTGATGTTGTAATTTTATCTTACTGTGTTAACGGTTGTATTAATATTGAATTATTTAGCATAGATTCTGAATCTGACCTTGTTATTTGTAAAGCATTTCTAATAATGCAATTAAAATAGCTCTCTAATTGGAGAAATGCTGTAGAAGAGTTGTTAGTTCTCATAATTGCTGAAATTTCTATTGCTTGAAACTAGGCAGACATTTACATTTATGTCATTGTGCTTCAGAACTAACACTTAGCTTTTCAGATCAGGGATGATGGCTGGTATCTGACCAGAGCTCTCCGGGTGTTGAGAAGGGAATTTGCAAATGCAGTAGATACAGTTACTTCAGGAACAGCAGTGCTGGGCAGAGGGTGAATGCTTGGGAATAGCAGAGTTTGGGGTACTGCTTCCAGGTTGCAGCAGCAAGTCTGCCAAGAGCTCTAAGTATCCTGTTCCCTGCTTTATGAGTAATTTTCTCCTACTGCAGATTTAGTAATGTATCAC